AACAAGTATAGTGGCCCCCATGGACAGGATTTTGTGGCTTAGGGTCTAAAGAAACACCAACGGAGAGCGAGATTAAGAGAGTCACACACATGGCTTTAGTGATTCATGCACTATAATATTTTAGACTGATTAAACAACACTCGCAGTGATCCGGATGTAGTACTGGTCTGTTGTGGTGAAGAGAGAGCTGGCAAAGGCAAAGCTTTTGATTTACTGGCTGATCTACACCCCAGCCTTCACCTATGGTCACGAGCTTTGGGTAGGGATCGAAAGAACGAGATTGCGGAAATAAGCAGCTGAAATGAGTTTTCTCCCACGGGGTGGCCGGGCGCTCCCTTAGAGGTAAGGTGAGAAGCTCGGTCATCTGGGAGGGGTTCAGAGTAGACCCACCTCCTGATGGAGATGGTGTTTCATCAGCAAACACAACATGCAGCTGTCTTAATATTTCATCTTGGCTTCAACACTAGTCCTGTGGTTTTCAACCCAGAGAAACAGCTGCCTTTGACTCAGTGCTGTTTTAGGAGAGTGAGATGGTGGGTGGGGAAAGGCTTAAAGCACAGTCGATTCTGAATGGTTTAATTGAAAGAAGCCTCAGCAAGTGAGGGAGTCTGAAATGGGAAAAGGATTGTAAACAGATAAAGTATGATAGTCTGACTATTTAATGGAGTGTATGATTACGTTTACTGCTACTGAGACAGATGTTTTGTTTTCACCACTCCTGTAAGGCATAAGAAGGAATTTGTGTAGCTGTTGCATAAATCCTGGCTTGGACCTTTTGGAGTCTAGTCTGCGTGTTCTTTTTGTGCATGCATGTACGTTACATTATTATGACCTTTTAAATGAGGGCGAATAATTTTTCCGTCATGGTAAAGAAACAGATGAACCCATGCTCTCGAGTACTGTGTAATTGTTCATGTTCAAACTCTCATCAAGGGTCCAATTTTGAATTATGTGTCTAGTACCTATCATCTGCAGAGTGATGGTAGGAAGGAGCAGGAGATGGACCGACAGATCAGGACTTGGTCTAAAGAGGGCACTGCTCCAGTCTGTCAAAAGAAACAGCTGAGCTGAAGGGCAAATTTCTCACTTTACTGATTCGTCTACATCCTGATCCTTACCTGTGATCTGGAAATTAGGATCATGGGTCATGTTGAAAAAAGGGGGTGAGCGTTTTTCTCATATGGAGGAGTTGGAATTTCCCAGGGCCTCATAAACAAAGAATTTCCTTTTGAAAGACGGCATATAGTCGATATCAGGATAACCGTAAGTATCATAAATACAGAAGAAGGGACACATGCTTGTCTAGATAGCAGATAGTCAGATAAAAAACTCTGGATATCTGCCTTAAAGTGCATCTTTAATGATTTTTTTAAATGGTAGAAAAACATCATCTAAGGTCAAAAAGTAACTGGTTATCCTTCCAGGTTTTCATATAACTAGCAGGGGTTTAAAAATACTAAATCAAGGGAAGTGGGCAGGCTTCCCTAAAAAATGCATGGTTTTGGAGTCATGTGATTCATTACGTACCTCAAGGAAAAGTTAGAGGAAGACGTGCTTGACACTGGTTATTTTTATTTGCTGAAGTAACACCGATTCAACTAGTTTAAGGAAGGTTAATATTTGTGTATGCTGGGGTTCTACAAACCCCTGTTTGTCTGGACATCGTGTTCATCAATTTCCAGAAAATGAATACGAGAATCATGGAGATCAGATCATATAAACAAAGAGGCAACATGGACAGGGGCTTTCTATTTGCGCAGGTGTAACTGCGGGCCGCCATCCAAGATGGGTCACTAGTCGCCCGCAGTGCATTCATTGGAACCGTAGACTACAAAATAAAAAACGGGCACAGTTGCTCACTCAGCGTTAACTCCGATTAGGTTTTGGAGTGAGGGACCCATCCAATATGGCGACAAAATTATTACACTCCAGTGGTCAATGTCGCCTCTACGTATTTCGTTTATGTTTCATCTTGTTCCCACCTCTTTGACAACTAGCTGTTTGTTTCATAAAAATAGTACATTTTTACCGATTTCCTTTTATTTGTTTATTTTTTCTTTTCATTATTTATTCCTTTTTTTATTTATTTATTTTTTCCTTTTTTTGTACTGATTTCAAAAGTAAATTTTCTTTTTCTAAAGTAGACCCGCTATTTATTCTGATTGCTGTTTGAATGTGGGACTACTTTCTTTTGAGCGTAGTGAGAAAGTAGTAAAGCGGCTCTCACATGATCGTTTTAGACCAATGCTGTGCGCGCTGATGGTGCAAATCCTTTTTCTAAGTAGTATAGAGTGCCCCCTAGGGCACCTACCTGCACAGCAAAACTGTTAGGTGCTGTTTCTGCTCAGTAAGGAGCTGCATAGAGCTTTCCCATGTGAAATTGTTAATGTTTCTACAACACAATCGCTGAACCTCGCTTTTTAGGGAATTAGTTGAAGTGCAAAAAAACTGCTTAGTGTCGCTTTAATACTGTCGAAGGGGAGGTTTGGGTAAAAAATTGCATAATTGCCTTGCCAGGGCCTAAAATTTTAAGCACCATTTGTAGTTTTTTGCGTTGTATCATAGTATGAATAGATATTAATGACTAAATACAAAACCAAACTGAACAGAAATAAAAAATGATAAATTTTTCAACACTAATGGCTACAAAAGCACCACTGAAGAAACACCATGTGGGTATTTCTACAAGACACTGCACCAACTAGCTCCCCTCAAGGGGGAGGATCAATAACTTGAGTCATGAATCCTTCTGGATTTCAATTATGATGAGAAATCATATGACTGAGACTTTATTTCAATATCTCAGTGCCTGAGAACAAAGTTGAAAAAGAAGTACAGAGGTTAGATGAAGACTTGCTCATGTGTTTTCTCTTTTCTGACAGAATCCGATACCATCACTGCAGAAGCTGCTCATAGCCCGCAGGCAAAATCCCTCAAAACCGGAGTTTTAAATAAGAAACGTGATATCATTTGAAAGGATCAGGCCCACATATGACACAGAGGGTCTGACCCCTGGGGTCGATCTCATCAGACTCACGCACGTCACACACTGCTGTTCTAATGGAAGCCAGAATAATGGAGGTCATTTCACACTTTGACACCAGACATTTAATAACTCAATTCATTCCACACAAGTCTAACCCATATGTTCATAAACAGGCACAATAAATTATGGTTGTTTACACTCTTCACTGTGCTGGATCTCATCAACTCAAAACCACTGATATATAAACATGTTGAGACATTGGAATAAAACAAGGCTGGATTCATTTAAAGGAAGATAATCGAGTTCAAAAGGTCCGACCAATGCTGCTCTGTCTTTCTCACCACATAATGTAGGCTTCAGCGCTGACTTCTATTCAAAAACAAAAGAAAACAACACAGTGTTTTATTTTTTTTCACTAATTCTGCTTGGAAATTGTCCAGATGTTTTTCTGTTTAACCTCTATTTGTCATAGTTTTGAAATTCCAAATACTATAAAGCATTTTAGCAACATGTTGTCTGCTTTCTCATTTGTCTGACCACTACTGATGAAATATATTAAATATAATTACAAAATCTCAGAAAGTCTGAGGAATCTCAGTTTGGAATAATTAAAGGGAAATTCTCATGACAAGCTAGGCTAAGATTAAAAAACACAGATGGTCTGGCAGGATCCCGATGATACCTCCAGGCTCAGAGTAAAAATATTGTGGACTCCCTGAAAGTAGGTGATAGTTTAATTGGAGCATGCTCAATTTTTGTGCAGCGATGCTTTATTGTTGCTGTAGCAATATATTAAAGTCCCATGAGAAGTTTGCAGAAGTCACCTCATGCTACTGTGACCACCCTAACCTCGGTTTCACACTGAAAGCATCAGCGGCGCGGAACGTCAGATATAATCCATTATAGTCAATGGACTGTTTCAAACCAGCAGCGACCTGGCAATTTCCAGGCGACGTGCCACACTGAAAGATAGGATCGGGTTCTATTTTTGCCACGAGCCTCCTCTGGGACACCTCAATTCCCGTAGTTAACATAGGGCTAGACAGGAAATTACACACCATTTTAGTTTAAAATCACCGGTAGTATTCTAAATTAAAGTAATGCAGCGATGCAGTTTCATATATATGAAGCTTACGTGTGACTCAACGGCTTATTTACTCAAAGCATCGTTCCAGAAGTGTAGCAGTGTTTTTTTTTTTCATGGCTTTAACCCTGGCAGTGGAGAGGAACAACATCATATATGACGTCAAACAACTTTTTGGTTTAATGGCGAATTGCATAAACAAACTGTTTTTAGGTGGGTTTTTTTTTGTGTGTTTGCATGTTTTGCATACCAGTGCCTCTAAAGAAAATCCTCCAGATTAATCCCGAGATTACTCGGACCACATTCTGTTTTTAGATAAATACTCACTAGATGAACTCCTAAGAAACTTTCTTTGAAAAAGTCTAAATTATATTTCTAAACAGTGATGAAAATAACTTCTGAGGTGAGAAAATTGTGAATGGATGACTTGTCATCATATACCACAACACTGTGGAACATTTACAAGTTTTCACCAGCTTCTATTTACCAAGAGTCCCGCTGCTCCGGGAAGGGGAACTATATGGGCCTAGCTGGAATAATAAAACGCATCGCTGCTTTAACTGGGTCATGGCAGTGGAAGCTGACAAAACCTATAAAACGTTCCTTGACACAAGAAGCGTGAGGACACAAGAGACTTTTACATTATTAGTATTTATAACTGTAATTTCATTTTTGATAAAAGAACATCTTTATATCTTTGCTGTGATGATCAATTTAGAAAACTTTGCTTTTGTTTTGCAACTAAAGGCTGAGATTGATTTTACATTCGTCTTTTTGTCCTGCTCGGTTCACTAAACAGATGCACCTTTCAATTCCGTTTGGCCTTTTTGACTCCACTGCCAAAATAAGGAATTAATAAACTGCTTTTTTGGTTTTGACTTTGCAGCAAACAGTCTCTGACTCTGTTTATCTCCGTTTTCCTTGTCACAGACCACCAAGGCAGTGAACAAAGGTGACTTCCCGCTGGCCAACATCGCCTCCCGCAGGGCTTTGTTCCTCGCTGCCCTCTCCATCACTATAGGCACCGGTGTGTACGTGGGCGTGGTGGTTGCTCTCATAGCCTACCTCTCTAAACCGGGACACATATAGCAGAGGCGCCCTCCTGTCACACAACACCAGGGGAGCCTGGGATCGAGAACATCCTCCCCAGGGGGGCATCACTGCACCTGGAGACTTTTCGAGGAAGATTTTAGGAGGATGTACAGCTTTTGTTTTTTCCTCGACCTTCCAGACTTTTCTTCCTAAAGGCCCTTTGTCCTCTGTCAGTTAGGATTAGCCACAGCAGCTGGAAAGAGGTCAAAGAAACTCTTGTTTATTCGATGTCGGAGTCCAGTTTGCATCCCACTGACTTGATCCACTTCCTCGTCTTTTGACTGCGTTTGAGCCTACGAAGCTCCTACGGAAACGGTGCCCTGATATCGTTTTAGCTATTGGTAACATTTTGCGCCTCTTTGTGAAGTCTTGTCATGCAAGTATGCCTCCCATAGGAATGTTTTAAATGCACTATGATCTGTGTTCTGCTCAAAACACCAGGTCTACATTTTTCTGGGACTGACACAGTGGGGAGGTTAGTGATTATTATGACCATGTCTAATTGTTCCAGCCATGTTTTTATGCAGAAGCTTACAAATAAAAATTAATAATACATTTTTGGGAGGCAGAAATATCCTGATCTATAATTGGGTTTCTGCGATTTTCAAGATACTGATGAAATTGCAGAATTGGACATTAAAATGGAATTTGTTCATATGGGGATGTATTTCCTTCACAAAATACATGTTAATAACACTTTACAATGATGTGCTTAAGGAATAAGAGGCTGTATCCTGCCTGCTGTTTGTGTGATGTAGCAGGGAGGAACAGATGTCCTTTGTTGTTCCACATTGTCTGAAGACAGTGTCGCTAATCTCAGTTTGAAAACTTTAGAAAACTGGTTTTCTAAAATTTCAAAATAAAATGTAGTTTAAAACAAAGTGAGACAATAAAACCTGAAGGTTATAAACTAGTCAGGTATTTTTTTTTTTTTTTTAAGAAAACCCTCACGTATCTTACTGGGCTACACAATAAAACAAGCAGGTTGCCTGATTTTGGCTGATTGTGAGACAGCTTCAAATCAAAATTGATCAGTCACTGAAGGAGCTCATATTTTGCACATCTCTCGATCCCTCCGACTCATACGAAAGAAAGAAAATGGAAATTTGGGATAATAAAGAACGGTGACTTCAGAATTTTCTTTTCTAAAATGTCATTTTCTGTAAAATGGGATGACCAGTCTCTGGTTCCTGTAGCCTACTAACCAGGCAGATTGTTGATAAGTTACTACATTTATCACTACAGACTAGGGGTTGTATGAACTAGTCAACCTCACTGCTCTGTAGTGACTTTTTATGCTCGTCATCGACTAGTCGCTGTCACGTGATAATGACCGGCAAGATGCAGTCCTCGGAAAAGACAGCAGGTGATGAGCCCCTGCGCGTCGGGAGGCGACGCGCTGTGCCAGACACCCACCGTAAAACGGACATTTGACCGAATTGTGACCTTTACCCTATTACAATTTAACCTTCCCCTCACCCCCATCCTAACCTTAACCAGCTTGCGCATGCAAAGCTCTGATTGTTGACCCGCTCCAGACATCTGCGTCCTGAGCACGGCCACAGCAACATTATCAAATCAGGTGTCGCCACCTCAAAAACAAATTTAACATGCGATCGTTCATGTCGCCACATTTCCTTTTATGTTTTCTGTCTTTTATTTGTGCCTGATGCGTTTCGCTGCTGTGGAGCGGGGCGCATCACCTTGTCCTCTGGTGACGCACCTCACCGGTGCGGCCGGCGCGCACCCCGCTGTTTTTGCGGTCGGTAGATCTTTTAGAACTGCAGTTCAAAGGTAATTCATAAGGTGAATATATATGAAGCCATCTAGCAGGTTTTCTTTAGGATTGAGAGGAGATGCAGGAAGATAATAAAAACAGACAAGACAGAAAAATAGTCAAATAAAAACAAGTTAGTTTTTGTACCTGGTGGTTGCAACAAACAGACACCATTGAAAATAATCAGAAGTGAGGAACAGAAAATGAAATAATTATTTTAATGTTTAGAGCAGCAGGAACTCTGAAAGGCTGCAGGCGCACCAGTAAGTTTGCGGCCGCTGCGCAGGGGGAGGGGGGAGAGGGCTGAAGCAAACCAACCGACCCCACCCCCCACCCCACCCCGTGCCGCTTCAGGTGTATGACATCATCAACGACTAGTCAAAGTCGACTCGATTTTCATGACTTGACAAAAAATTAAGTCATGCAGCCCCTACTACAGACACATATGGGTATTGTGGGGACTGGATAGTCCTTGTAGCGTTGACTTAAAATAGCACAGAAACATTAATTTCACTAATAAGCCACTTTTAGTGTCATTGGTTGTCGTCCAATAATTCGTTTAATAAAGTCTGGGAAAAAACAACTCCCTTCAAGCTTCTCTTTAGATTTTGAACCCAGACTGAGGCTATGATCAATGACCCCACCTAGTGCAGGAGCAAATCAAAAAGCTTCTGATTTTACCAAACGCACACTGAAAGTAGAGCAGAAGAGGTTTTTTTTTTTTTTTGCAGATGATGTTATATAATGTCTGTTTTTGTTAACTTGCCGATGTACAGTGTGTTACAACAGTATGTGACTTTTGATGCTGCTGTTACTTTTTTTTTTTTATCATAGCAATGAACTAAATCCATGCAGCAAAAACAAAAAAAAAGTCTTGTTGAGTGCAAGTTCCGACGCCAGAGTTCATCTCTTTGTGTTCTGCTGATTGTGTCCACTTTTTTGTCATATTTATGTTCTGGGGGGAAAAAATTCTTATTTTTTGTGTAAATGCAGAATGTAAATAATGCAAATAAAATATGTTGAAATGTAAAGAAAATAAAGCTAAAAGGGAAAATGACCTTCATTAAAGGCAGAATGATTTTCTCTGAGAGTTGTATAACTTAGATGTTTGTCTTAAGGAATGGATAACCCATTAGAGATGAGATGGTATTAAAGTGAAAGGCAGCATGCGCTGAGTCATGGAGTGTAGGATGTTTTGCCTGAAAGAAAAAGAAATGTTGATTTAATCTCTGATTCACTTTGTGTTTTCAGTATCGTTACCATAACCTTCTATTTTCTAACAGGGCAGGATTTGTTTGGCTAATTCCTTAAACAAATTTTATTATTAACATTTATAATAGTCTATTTTGCAACATTTTAATTTTGAATAAAAAAAATTCTTATTTAAATGTAACTTTAAATGATTAAAATCAGCCTTCAATCACTCAAATTGGAGCAACTTCAGAAAGTGTCAGTTGATGTGATTCTGACATCTGATTGGGATGCGTCCTGGTCACCTTCCTCCGGGTTTCCCAGGGAGACCCAGAACATGTTTTAAGGATCAAATATTCTCTCTGGACTGGGAATTTCTTGGGATCACCAAGGCTAGAGACTGCCAGGAAGAGGGAGGTTTATTCTGTTTTGATACAACTTGACTGTAGAAAAGTGGACATGGATAGATGATGGGTGGGTGGATGTGTAATAGTCCCAAGTCTTAAATGGCACCTGTGAGATTTCTTTGTGTAACTATTTTCACTTCCAGTCAGTCTGATTATTTACCAAGCAGAATTTGGATCACTACTGAGTGATGTTACAGATGTTTTACTCACAATGCTAGTTGGATCCATTCACTTACTGTGTTTTATGCTAAGCTATAGCTAAAGGAGTACGTCTGGGTCAGGATAATGACTGGGCTGGTTAAAAATTGGTTTTCCCCACTTATCTAACTCGGGGAAATATGTCAACAGACAAAATTTATTTTTTGGGTGGAGTCTCCCTTTAAAATCTCAACATTAAAAAACAAAACTATTATTTAACATTTTACAGCACACTAAATGTAGATTTATATCCAATTAAGCTTTTTGTTTTGAACAGAACCCAAATACAATTACAGTTGCACCATTACTATTACACACACACACACACACACACACACACACACACACACACACACACACACACACACACACACTAGTCTAGCATCCGCTGTGAGGATCGTCATTGACTTCCATTCATTTTACTGACTGGATTGTGCCTAAGCCTAACTTTAACCATAACCAGTCTACTCCTAACCTTAACTAAAACTTAATTCACACCTAACCTCTAAGACTAACCAGTGGAGCTCTGTAACATTGCCTCAGTTTGCAGGTAAAAAACTTGTTTTGGTCCTCACTTTGATGTTAGACTGGTACACACACACACACACACACACACACACACACACACACACACACACACACACACACACACACGCACTCCACCTAACACATCTTCACACATGCATTAGATGGCCGGGTCATGATCTCCCTCCTCACTCACGATTACTCAGTCTTTATCATATTAAGGAACAAATCAGGACGGTTGACTTTGACCCTAGAATATTAATGAAAGTCCAGGAAACCTTGCTGCAGTGGAGATTTTTATTTGACAGGTTTTTGTTCCTGCTTGGAATTTTAAAACATCTGAAGTGGATCAGTAATGTGATTCCAGGCAGAAACTAAACCTGCATCGTCTAATTTGCCTTCGAAGGCTGCGCTGCGCCCCAGTAGGGAGTGTGTAAATCCAGCTGTGGAGGAGCTCTTATTACTGGAGAGTGAGTCAGTGAAAGCATCGCAGCACAAGAGATGCTCGTCTAGTCCACAAAAGCGAATAATGCTCGCACACAACAAAACCAGCAGCTCAACATTATCCTGAACAGGCATGAGACCCACAAGTAAACTGAGTTAATAGAGTCTGGTGGATCAAAGAAAACTGTTCTCACAACCTAATAAGACAGTGAGTCAGAATTTATCCAGTGTGTGTGTGTGTGTGTGTGTGTGTGTGTGTGTGTGTGTGTGTGTGTGGTAATTTTCATTGCTTATTGACTGGTTATTAAAAAGTTTTCAAGTCACATTAATCCTCAAGGTTGTGTTTAGTTTAACGATGTGTTGGGTGTTTTTTTTTTCAATCATTGTTTAAAAGAAATACGTTCGGTTGTTTTTGCCCTTCTCTAATTTAGGACCCCCTAGTGTCCGTTATTATTTTTCTGTAGTCAAACCAAAAGTGAAACCTATCTCCTTGCTGTTCCTTTTCCTTTTTAACACCTAATCTAACAGCTGAACAGCCTTCTACCAGCCTTCATTAGTGTCTAGAGGAGTGATTCATCACTAAATTAAACAAAACAGCCGTGTTCATGATCTAAAACATGCAGGAAATGTGCTGAACATCCCAACAGAGCGGCCTGCCAGTTTGAAGTTGCAAATGCAGTATTCTGGCCACAGAGGGTGTGAGTGGTATTTCATTACCCTGTAAAGGGTAATTTTAGCACATACTGGCTCAAGAAAAAAAATTTTTTAATATGAAAAAAGTTTCATAGTATGGCTTTAAAAAGGCAGTAGAGCATAGTCTTTGGGTGTTTCTCAATGCCAAGGAACGTCGCCTTGATGTCTTGTTCCCACCCCGGTTGCCTAGGAGATGCGTTATCAGGTGCCGCCTAGACTTGTTCCAATGTTCATGTTCTACTGAGGCCTGTGTTTGTTAGTCATTTAGCTAGCTGAGCAAGGATACACGGGGAGTGTCTTGTAGTCTAGCCTTGGTCAAAAATTTCCCAGAATTCACTGCGGTATTTTCTAAAGGATGGCGGATCAGAAGCCGGCAGCTACTTCAGGGGTACATTTCAAGTTCAAATGTAAGTCAACTAATTTAAAATGTTTTTTTAGATCCAAAGAAGTTACCTATTGTTGGTTAGTTGCTTAGTAGTTGCAACTTCGGTGGCTAGTTGGTAGTAACTCGCTTAAATATTTCATTAAACTAATTTATACACAATTTAAAAAGTGAAAGCCTCGTTATATGTTTGTTTTGAAACATATACGTAAAAACTAAAAAGTTATGTAACGTGATGAAGGAGCTATTCCTCCAAGGTTATTTTACCTTTTCCACAGTTCCCTTTGTCACAGTGCCAGAGTGCAAGAAACAGCCTCAAGGTCATGCATTCGGTTCTAAACTGTTTACTTTCCAGCAATGAAGACAGAAGATGAAGTTAAAGTTAAAGTCCCATTAGTTGTCACACACACAGGTGTGTGTGCGAAATTTGTTCTCCGCATTTGACCCATCCCCTGGGGGAGCGGTGAGCTGCAGACACAGCCGCGCTCGGGAACCATTTGATGGTTTAACCCCCAATCCAACCCAGGGAGGCATTGGGTCCCATTTTTTCAAAGTCTTTGGTATGACCCGACCAGGAATCGAACCCCTGATCTCCCAGTCTCAGGGCGGACACTCTACCACTAGGCCACTGAGAAAGGTGATGAAGACTTTTCTTTCATTAAATCAAAGAACTCTATTTTCTATAAAGCTAATCAAAACAACTGTTAGTCAATAATACAATGTGACCGATCTGTGAAATCACAATATTATGATTAATATGTTTTTAATAAGTAATATGACTTATTCTAGTCACTAGACACACTGACACACGTAAGGAAAACAATCACATGACACATTGCTGTGCTGATCCAATCAGAACCTTCCTAGTCTGAAGCGTGGCATAGTTTCTGTGGTATTTATAAATCTGCCAGCTTTGATTCGTCCAGAATCAAAAACATCTAGATTAATAAAACAGTTCCAACGCCATCAATAAGTTCAGTTCTCAAGATCCCATGAAGTTCACTGCATGCTAAGTGAAGTATTGGACCGGCCATTCTGTACTTCTCTTTTAAGCTGAAAACCATCAAGCTGGGAAAAATCTGTTGTTTGTGAACCAAGCAATGGTACCTTTCAGAATAAAAGCTGAACTCGCTGACCCAAGGAGGGTCCCCTTTTTGACGCTGTGAAACACCTGTCGCTTTTTACCTGGAGACAATCCAAAGACTAGTTTGTCGTACTGTCTACGCTGTTTCATCGGCTCCAGTACCAGAGGAGTTTCGTGGACCTAGCATCCGGATCTGTACGGAGGTCTCACTGAGGGTATGTGGATGCGAGATAAATGGCGTCTCATGTGTTTATGACTATGAGTCTCAAACTCTGATCAGTTAGGAGCAAAACATCATCTCCCACTCAGACTTGTCTCTCCGGATACGAGGGTTCTGAATAACACTCATTCACACACACACCAACCATCTCACACCTCATCTAAATCCCTGCAATAAAAAGATCCAATCTTCTGATTTAAATAACCCAGTGTCCATAAGATGGAATTCCTACTCGATATGAATTTTTAATGTCTTATGGTCCTTAATTAAATGTAATTAACACTCATTACAGTTATCTCCCATGTCACATGACATCAAGTGACCACCGTGGAAGCCATGGTCACGTGATGTAAGTCTGTTCCATTCGACCATATTCTTTGACCAAGGAAGGACAGTGTTCTCTTAAATCCTGCTCCCTCGCAAGGCCAGGCGCCTTGACACTGAGAAACACTCTTTGTTTACAATCTCTCTTGTCCATACTTCCTGGTTCCTGAGCCAATCATATTTGAGCTTGCAGTGTAGCAAAGTCTGCATTGGCTGCAGACTTGTGCTGCTGCACTCCAGCGTTTGCAATTTGACTACGGCCAGCAAAAAGCAGCAGTGTTGCGGACATGCTACCCAGTAAACAGGAGCGACCGGGAAGTTATTTATCATAACCCTAAAAAGCCACGGCATGTTTTACTCTTGGAATGGCCACCAGCCTGGCCTCTGGTGATGGAGAAATGTTTCATTTTGCATTATTTTAATAATGCTCATCATCTGTTTGCACTTGTTTTAGAACCTTTTATGACAATGAAACCCTCTTTAAACCCACTATCATGTTTCTTATGTTACCCCTTCCGTCACATTCTAACACCTCCTGTCGGGGACGTAACAACTGTAACATTCAGTAAAGAAGGCTACAGGCTAATGTTGAGCTAACAATGCTAATGGAAACTTAGCCTGAACCACATCTCAAGCTTTTTTTTTTCTATTACCAACAACTTTATATTACAGTGACATGTGTTTATCTAAGGGAATAGACTTGCTGTGTAGGATCTGTCATTCTGGAATCTTCTGGTGCTGAGTCATAACTGAACCTTCAGGACCCATTCAACACTAACAAAAGGCTTTCAGAGGTTATAGTATTATACTATAGTATAGTACAAAACTCAGCAGACCTTAATTCTTAGTAGTGAAATTTAGTCTTCCTCCAGTTCTGTTCTCTATATTTAGACTGAGAATCGTGACTTAAAATGCTTTTGCTCATGTCTCTCTGTAGAGGAAAGGGCATAAAACATTCTGCTGGATAACCCAGATAAGAAGGATGTTTTTGTCAATCATCTCTGATAAATGAGAAACTTTTATGGAATGGAAGATGAGCCTCATCATCCCTCTGACTGAAACATTGGTTTCTACTGAAATACTGAATACTGAACAGGGTTTTCATTTCCTCGAAGCTGTGAATCAACTCTTGTTTTTACATACAGCTGTTTCTTACCTAAATATTCTACATTTCCAGCACATCCTCTCCATGCAGCCATGCAAAAATAATACTAGCTGAACCCCCTGCTGGGCTCCACCCATGACTCAGCGCGCCTCTCGATGAATAAAACGTTGTGTATTTTCAGGAAAGTCCTTTTCAAATGCAACGGAAGCAAGGGATTTCATGTTTTCACACAACTCAACTTTTATCTTCCTGCTACACTTGTCAGTTTGTTAGGGAGGAGGGAAAAGAGAGCCAGATGAAACTGATTTTATGGGTTTTGAATCCCTCTGGAGAGAGCCAGATAGTCTGTAAGGATTTATTTATTAGCTAGAACGCAACCAAAGGGAAAGCAAGAGGCAGAAACGGGGAAACAAGATTGTACAGAGGAATCTGTCATCATATAGAGTTTGTCTGAGGCTGCAGCTGCTGAGGGGAAACCTTTAGCTTTACTCAGACTGGTAAAGGGGTCTATTGTGACACCAGGTCATTCAAAGAAAGGTCTACTTGTAACGGGTGCATTGGTCCTCTTACTGTGAGCAAACTGTTCTAGCTGTCATCCTGACCCATCACCTGTAATTGAAAAAGGGCAGCAAGATTTACACCAGGTTATCTTCATAGTCCTGACATTTCTCTGGACCCCCGAATGGATTCAAGATACTCTGGGACAGATGCAGAACAGAATCAAGCCTTCTCCGTGTTGTAAGTTTGGACTTTCTCACAGTAGCACAATCATTTAGTAACTAATGCAGGTTTTTCTTTATTCATTCTCCCCAGAGTAATATTTTAGTCTTCATCAGTCTCTTTCCAATCCAGAAAGATTAGTTTGTTTGTTTTTTTTCAGATTTTAACATGTCAGGCAATGTTTAAGGGGAACTAGGCAGTTTTGGCGTGCTTTTAGCACCCCCTAGTGTTGGTTTGTAGAATCGAAAGCAAACCTTATCTCCTGGCTGTGTTTGTCTTTTTAACACCTTAATCTAAAGCTGAAATGTCTCCCCAGCCTTCTTTAGTGTCTACAGAAGTTATTCATCACTAAATGAAACAAAGCAGCTGTGTTCATAATCTAAAATATGCAGGACATGTGCTGGAACTAGACTGCAGTGCCATCTATGTCAGCTCCGTTTTTCTAAGTCCCAACAAGTTGCAAGTGTAATATTCTGGCCACAGGGGGTGACAGAGGCTGGGTGGCCTTTCATTAACCATGTAAAGGGTCATTTTAGCGCAAACTGGCTCACGAAAATGATTTAAAAATATGAAAAAGTTGCAAAGGATCCCTTCAACGTATTAACTGCCATTGACAACAAAAGTTGTCATTTGCAAAGTTTTTTACTGTGTGGGCGTCGGAACGAGCCCCCGCACCGCCAATCTTCATCAACGTACGTCACACGTCACGTGATCAGGAAGCAGAAAATCCATGTGTTAGGAGATTATTTTGGTGCTGTATAAAAAGTGAGGCACGAACCAGAGAAGCTTCTGTTGATCACAATTTGACAATGGATTATGAAAGAACGAATAACGCTCGAAACGCACGGAATCTTCCTGATGTAAGAGGTGAGTCTACTCTTTGTTTTGGTAGTTTTGGCGTTGACATCATCCTAGCGCGCAAAGTTCTGTGACTCTTAAAAAAACAATGAAAACGCTGAAAAATGCTGGCGGCGAAGGACTTTTCTGATCAGGAAACAGCTGGCAGTGAATGAGTTAAGCAAGACAAGCAAGTGAAAAATAACCACTAAAGTGCTGTCAGAGCAGAGACGTGTCAAATTTGGGCCTATGGAGTTGTTCCTTAGGTCTTTCTTTATCAGGAATGAGACGTATGGGTATCCTGGAGGCTTGGAGCTGTTCTCCCATAATGATGAACAGGCAGTTCATATAAAATAACATCAACATATAAACCAGAGACTCAAGGTTTCCCAACAGAGCTTCATGTTTTACCCTTAGGTGTTGTCATCATGGCTGGTGATCAACAATTTCATTGGTTCACTCAACTCTTATTCAATTCATAGAGACCTTGGTGAGATTTTTGATTGCGTCTTAAAACCAGTATGTTTTGTAAGGTCAAACGCAACATTGGTTGACTTTCAGATGATTGTTGTGCCCTCTTACATAAAACATGATCACATCCCAGCATGGCCTCCATACAAGCCTTCCTGTTTCATTCAGAATCCAGTTCAAAGCTTAATTGCCTGTTTATCAGAGTCTTAATGGGTCTGCTGGCACTGGTCTGAATTTGTGCAACCACACACTCCAGCCAGAACACAATGGTGCCCATAAATCAGCTGCTCTTAAACATTCCGGCATCCGGACTTTTGTACAGAGGTCAAAGAAACTCTAGCAATAGCAGGACTGCTGCAAACATTTATCATGTCCCATAAAAACACATGTTGATGATGATTGGTATTTAGTGAACAAATTTTGTATTTTTCATTTCCCAAAACTTTTAAACAGATACTTTAGAACTTTTTCATATTTTTCAACAGTTTTCTCAAGCCAGAATGTGCTAAAATGAGCCCTTACAGTGTCAACGAAAGGCCACCCATCTTCCTCTGTGGCCAGAATATTCCACTTGTACCTGCAGACTGGCAGGCCGCTGTGTTGGAGAAAACCGGAGCCGGCTTGCCTGGCGCTGTATTCTGCTTCCAGCACGTTTTAGATCATGAACACAGCTGATTAGTTTTATCTCGTGACAAATCACTCCTGTAGACACTAGGGAAGGCTGGGGAGGCATTCCAGCAATTAGATTAAGGTGTTAAAAAGGTGTACAGCAAGGAGATACGCTTTGCTTTCGATTCTACAAATGGACACTAGGGGGTGTTAAAGCAAGCAAAAACTGCCTAGTTCCCCATTAACTTAAAAGATTTCCTCCATACCACTGGTGTGCGCTGATTACATTAGTCAAGGTGGACTCCAGTCACAACTCAAATGGCTTTCAACACTTTCATGGTGGAGCAAGCTGATCTTGGTGGTGTTTCAGTTTAAAAAAATGTTATGAAATGATGAGAATACATAATCTAGTTTTAAAAATGTTTTTGGTTTAATATCAACTGAATAAATATGTAATAATTCATTTCATTTTACCGGTAACAAAAACAAGAATAAACTAATTTGACCCTTGCCACCTGTAGATCCTCCAGTAGACATGTGTAGGACAGGTTTTTGATGAAACCCTGATTCTCCATCTGGATGCTTTAAGGCTAGAAAGGTTTGATGCAAATCCGAGGCGATAGTCTAAAAAGGACTAAAGGCCAAATGATAATATAACCTCAAGCTAACAAACTGTAAACTGTTATCTTTTTTTTTCACTTTTATTTAGCTCAGTAAACCAGTTGCTAGTGTATTTCTAATTTTGCTTTAGTCCGTGAGACAGACACCTTGTCTACTTTTAAGACTAGGCTTAAAACATTTTAAATCCTGATGTTAGCCCAGATCTGGATAAGTGGGGGAGTAGAGGGAGGTGGAGAGTACAGTCGGTAAAGATGGCTCTCCCTCGCCTTGCCTCCAACATGCCTCCATCTAAAAAGGCTAGCTTATCCAGAGTTATCTCTGTAGTTATGCTGCTATAGGCTTAGACTGCTGGAGAACATACTGGTCACTTTCCACACTCTACTACTTTTTTCTACAATCTGCTCTTTAACTGTATTATTTCCTGCTATTTCAGCTGTTAACTTTATTTTTTCTCTGTGTTTTTCTCCCCAGAAGAAGCTACAATGATGTTCTGTTGAGTTGTGGTGGCCTCATGGAGGGGGCCATCGTCTAGCACACTGCTGCTAACCACTTAAACATTCTCCCTCTCCTGATAATAACATTGGATGTGCTACTACTAGTTTACCCATTTAATTATAGATTCACTAGGATAAATACAATAAAGTTTATCTCTCATTAAATAGAATATTTACTAAGAAATCACAATATAACTATAGACACATTGCTTGGTGTGTGTGTGTGTGTGTGTGTGTGTGTGTGTGTGTGTGTGTGTGTGCGTGCGTGCGTGCGTGCGTGCGTGCGTGTGTGTGTGTGTGTGTGTGTGTGTGTGTGTGTCTTCTCTGTCTTGTCCATCCCCAATGAGTCGTGGAGGATGGCTGCTTATACTGAGCCAGGATCCTCTGGAGGTTTCTTCCTGTTAAAATGGAGTTTTCCTCTCCACTGTCACTAAATGCTTGCTTAGTATGAGGACTGCTGTAAAGTCATTGACACTAGTCAGTGACTTGATGCAACCTTCTGAGTTCCTTATGTAGGAAACTTTTTACTGGTTGGCCCAATGAACTGAACTGTATTGGAATGTTTACGATGTGAAGTGCCTTGAGATGACACTTGTCATGATTTGGCGCTATATAAATAAACCTGAAGTGAATTGAATTGAATTAATTTGTAGAACGGTTATT